TCAGCAGACATCGCCCTCTGTCCATGCTGGGCACTATGCTAGGTGCCAGGGAGACAGCAGGGGATGAGACAAAGGAGGCGCTACCTTGTACTAATGCAGGGAATTGAAGGCCAGCCCTTAGGACTGGGCTATACTTATCGATCCACCTCCTACCTGCAAGGAAAAGCAGTTTCTTCACGTGTAAAATGAATTTGTTGAACTTGGTGTTCATGAGGTCTAGCCCAGCTCTGACCTTCTATGGCAAGAAAATTCTGGAAGCCACATAAGGAAGGATTGGTTGAAGGACCAGGAATGTCCCTACAGGAGAGCAGATTAGAGCCTGAAGATCAGTCTGTCTTGTGAAAATGGAGTGGATGTGCTTTGTGTGATCCCCGATGTCAGAAGCCATGTGTGGGGGTCATGATGGGGGAAGAACTTGAACACAATTAATTACTAAGCAATGGTAGGGGGCCATCTACCAGGGGGAATGAACTGAAGACCACCTGCCCAGGGCCCCTGGACAGGTCCCCGGAGGAGAGGTCATGACTGTAAACTCCATTATCTGCACATACAGAAGCAGTCATTCGGTCCCCTGTGTTCTGTGGAAAGGCAAATGGAACTCCAATTATAGTAGCCAAGTGGAAGCTTAAGTCAAAAGATGAGAAGCTGTCCAAACGCTAATGGCAGTGGATTAAATGGAGGACCCGTGTGGTTCTCTGCCTCCCACTTCCCTGATTTGCAAAGTTTGGGAGGGAGGATGTTGTTTTTGAAACAAAAGCAACTTAATTCTTTCTGGAAAGTCATCCAGCCCCGACCCTCATCCGGGAGCCTGAAGCCTCCCTACTTCCAATCCCAGGTCTGAGCAGCTCGCTCAGGTTGTCAGGGAGGAAGTAGAAGGAAGTGGCACTGATGGTGCCAGAGTCTGTGTGGGTTCAGTGCCAGAGGCACAGTGCCCACCCTGGACGAGGCGAAGGGCTGGCGCAGCCTCACACTCTGGCTGGAAGGCAGCATGGGTGGCTCCTGTTAACAGGCAGGAGGTGACCAGCCAGGACAGGGACCCAGTCTGAGGGTCTCCCCTGTGTGTGCTGCTGGAAGAGGAAGTCAGGGCAGGAGGGTGAGCTGCCCTTTGAATCCTAGAATCAAATCGGTTAGAATCAAGGCGGAGGCCAGGGCCAGCATGAAGTCTGGCTGATGTAGAGGTGAAGGGTTTTCCTGTTCCGACTTTGGGGTGTGTACACTCACACACATGCACCCTCACCCTCGGCTCAGTTGAAAGGCTCACGCCAGCTCATTTCCTCCTCTGTCAAGCTTCCTAGTCATTCTCCTCTAAGAAGTCCTGAGGATCAACCCACCCAAGGCACACCTGCCTTCCACTCCCTATGTCCTGATCCCTTTCTCTCCACCTCAACCCCTCCCTTCCCCCCCACAACCCCTCACCGCCTCGCTTTGCTTCCCAGGGAGAAAGACGCCCCTGTCCACAGGGCTGGGCTGGCAGTCTGTCTCCTGGCATAAAAGCCTCAGTGAGTCTCGGAGACACTTGGAACCCAGACAGAATGGAATTTCTCCCTATTTTCTTTACAGCTGAGAAAACACACACAAACACAAGAATGTATTTATTGCCATATTTCTATCCCAAAGTTTGTCTTCAAAAAAAAAAAAAAAGAGCAGAAATAAAATTAGTTTCTCTGCCCACTCCGCCGCAACCCCCACCACCCCTTCAGCCCCCCTTCTCATTCCTTTCCATTTCCTGGTCTAGGCTAGGGAGGAAAATAGAGTCGGTTCAAGCCCCACAGAAAGCCACTGCATCCACAGACAATGTCAGGCTTGTTCAGAGATCGAGGGAAGAAACGCAACTCCAAACACACACAAACCTTCCCAGCGCAGGGTGTCCTGAAGGCAGAACAGGCGGGCCTGTGTCTGGATCTGAATCCCTGAGGCTCTGGGAAGAGGGAGCCCCAGATCTAGGCCTTCTTGACTTGGAGAGGTACCTTAACTTTGACATCCTCCACCCTTCAGGGACTGTGACAGTCACTGTAGGCTTCAACAAGGGCCCTACCACTCCACGGCCCTTCAAAGTACCAGATCTGGAGCTCCAGAGTGCCTAAGTAGAAAAATTCCCAAGGCAAAGCAGAGCAACTTCTCAGAACTTCGGAATTTTCCTTTCTCCCTGTGGCATCGGTGACATGTCTCCTATGCGTGTAACCCCCCCCCCAGCAATGCACAGACTGGCCATTCATCTCTCAGGTGACCAATACATGTGGCAGGAAGGGAGCAGGGATGGTAGAAAGATGTCACACCTCACAGGCAGGAAGGGGTCACCTAGAGTACTGCGCCCCGCCTGCCCCCCCCAGCCGTTCCTGGATGGAAACAGCAGGTTCCCCCAGTGCCCCTCAGGGTGCTCCCCTCATTCCCACAGCATCCCACCCAGCAGTGGTGACTGAGCCAAAAGAGACACCTGCTGGGCCTCTGACAGAGGTGAGGTGGGGGAAGCCAGGGCCACCTCAGCTGAGTGTGGCCCCCTGCCTCTTTCCTTCTTTAGCTCCAAGTCCTCCATCTGCCCCAAACCTTCCTTCCCCTTCCTCCCAAGTGCAAACCCTTCTTATAGCCAAAGCAAATGCTCACAGCCTGGAGAGGAGGGCAGGAGAGGTATCAGGACAGGTGCATCCCACAACCCAGCAAACAGCAGCGCAGGCGGTGGGGTACACGTCACAGAAGGGGTGTGTAATGTCACTGTGCGCCCTTGGGGCCAGCAGTGCCCTGAAGGCCAGGCTGAAGTCCAGACCATGTACAACCAAATTGAGAGCCTCCACTCAGTTTGATGGCTTGTAAATTCATCTGTATCTTGTTCAGCTGCGGTTATGGTCCCAATGGGGCAGAGGAGGCCTGAAAAGGTGACTGCCACAGACTGTGTACCTATCATGACATAGGTCCAGCAGGTGACAATAAGGAAGGCTTTTCTTTCGAAGTCACATGAAGTCACGGTAGGACCAGAGGAGGGCTACAGGAATACTAGACTCTCATTTTTCTCCTGAGTTATTAATTTGATCATCACACAGCCTGCTCGAGAGCTCGCTTCCCCTGAATGGAACCAGGGCCCTGAATCTTGCTTGAATCCTTGGAGAATAACTCATTCTGAAACACAGAAGAAAGGGCAAGTGCAGTGACTGACACCTGTAATCCCAGCTACTTGGGAGGTGGAGATTGGGAAGATCATGGTTTGAGGCCAGCAATGCCAAAAAGTTAGTGAGATCCCATCTCAGCCAACAAGTCAGGCTCAGTGATGCACACTTGTGGTCCCAGCTACATGGGAGGTGTAGGTAGAGACCAGGACCAGTGAAAAACACAAAACCCTATCCAGAAAATACATAAAGCAAAAAAGGGCTGGGGCGTGGCTCAAGTGGTAGAACACCTGACTACCAAGCACAAGGTCCTGAGTTCAAATCCCAGTACTGCTAAAAAAAATAAAATAATAAATAAATAAAATGACATAAAACATACCAAGATCCCTGGATTTGAAGTTGGTGGCAGACCCAGATTCCCTTAGGGCTGTTGAACAAATCATCGTGTCTTTGGACCTGGAGGATTGCATTAGTGCTCGGCAGAGAACACCCCATGTATATTTTACGTAGTGTATGTGCGCACACACACAACCGTCCACACTCATGTTTCTCCTCCCAGTGAGACATGTCCTCAGAACAGTGCCACTAGGTGATGCTGTCATTGTGCAAACCTCGCACGGTGTCCTTACACAGATCAAGATTGTACAGGTCAGTCACTCCCTGTGGCTATTTTTAAATCGTTTCTGGCAGTGCTGGAGATCAAATCCAGGGCCTCGTGCACACTAAGCATGTCCTCTACCCCTGAGTCACACCCCCAGCCCTGCCTGTGATGGCTTCTTGATGCAACTAAGAGACACAGTAAACAGAGCTGTGAGGCTGTGACTCGTGTGCCACTGCTGGACAGTGAGGTTTTTCTGAAAGTAGAATGCTGTAATAATAATGACGAAAGGCACAGTATAGGAAATACATAAGCCAGTAATGGAGTCGCTTTATTGCCATTGGCAAGTGTTTGTACCGCACATAATTCTAGCTGGTGTATTTGCATCTGCCTGGCAACATGGTAAGCCTGTACTCACCAGTGTCCCCACGCGCAGGAGAGTGACATGCTGTGCTGTGCACCTTATGTGGGCTACAGCGTCACGAGGTGGTGAGTGTTTTCGCTCCACTAGACGACATTCCTATACTTGTACAGGAGTCTGTGGGTGTGGGTGTACGGTGTGCATGAGAGAGAGAGAGAACGAGAGAGAGAAACTATAAGGAACTGGTTCACACGTCACACTGCAGGTGTGATCTGCAGGTCCCCAGATCTTGGGGAGACTTGGCGAGCTGTCAACCCATGAGAGCTGACAAGGTACTTGCAGCTCGCAGCCGCACAGGCTGAAGACCTAGGACTAGCCAATGTTTCAGTTCAAGTCCAAAAGGAGGGCAAGTCAGTATCCTAGCTCAAAGGACATCCAGAAAGAACAATTCTCTCCTACTCAGGGGCCGGACAGTCTTCCGTTCCATTCACCTTCAGCTGATTGGATGCGTCCCACCACACTGGGGAGGGTGGTCTGCTTTACTCAGCCTACAGATTTAAGTGTTTGTCTCCTGCAGAAAGACCCTCACAGGCACACCCAGAACAGGGTTCGAGGAAATGTCTGGGCACCCTGTGGCCCCGTCACATTGGCCCTCACTGGAATTCATTAGGATGGTCTTTGCTGGTTGAATAATGTGTGTGTGGATGTTGAAGGGGCAGTGTTCATCAGCCCAATTCCTGTCATTGCATTCAGAAATCTGTGAAGGAAAGAGTTCACGGAGCAAAGACCTCCCAAGCCTCCTGCAGCCTCCTGGTGTGCCCTTAATTTCAGGTCCTTGGTGTGGTGTCTGTCACCTTGCACTATAGGTCATCTGCCACTCCTCCACTTCACTGTGCCTCAATCATCCAAATAACGCCTTTGCCTCCCCTCTTCCAGGTGAACTATGACCACTTTACTTTTGGTTTTGGTGACTCTGAGGGTCATCGCTGCAGCCGTGTCAGAAGAAATGTCAGGTGAGGACATTCCCATCCATGGCCTGTTTATACAGTAGGTGGTGAGTGCTGGATGCTGAGTACTGGGTACTGAACCTGGTGCTCCTAGGCACAGAGACAGAGACAGGCTCCCCTTTCCTTGGCCTTGCCCCTCTCATTGTGATGGGAGAGCAGCAATGCGTGCGCACACACACACACACACACATCTATCCCGGAGCCTCACACAGACACTCCAGCTCCCAGCTGACAGGAACCTCCTTTCCAGCACCCTTCCCTTCAGAATGTCACTTACAACTGCCACACTGAGCTTGGGGTGGGGAGGACATAGAGAAACCAGAAGAGAAAAGGGTATCGGAGGGGCAGGATGGCAAAGAAAATGGTCTGAGGAATACAGAGGGGCCGGGAATGGACGGGTCTTTGCCTTTCTCAGCAGAACCCTCAGCTGGGTCTCAGGCATGTAGCAGGCACTGGGTGTGTTTCTGATAATCAAGTCCTGATCCAAACAAGCAAGTTTTCCCCTGATTCCCGGAAGTGGAATGTGCCTCCCTTTTGCACAAGCAAGAGAGGTCCCACTCTGAACCATGCACTCTAAAGGCCTCCTGAAAGCGGGAAGGTGTGGAGGACCAAGGGGACTTGCCCCCAAGATCCTTGCTTCCCCTTTAAGCCACGTGGGCCCAAGCCTCATCTTGGGTCTGCATGGGTCCATTGTCCTCTGGGGGCCACAACCCCGGTGTGAGCTCCCCTTAGGCCTGAGGTGGGCTTACGAAAAGGTTGTTGACGTGGGACATGGACAGAGCTGGGATGGGAGAGCTGAGATACCACATGTTGCTGAGACGCCCCCCCATCACAATGTAGAGTGAGTTAGGGAAACAAAAGGGGGTCCATGCAGCCCCTCCTTCTTCCACCCAGTCACTCTATTCCAGTGCAATACCTTAAGGAATCCAAGAATCCTAAGTTTCAATCATTTTGAGAGGCTCCATCATCAAATGGGAAGGTACAGTGGATTTTACTTAAAAATCTAGTGGCCTGATTTATAACCTTTGCACAAAGAGACTGTAGTGTATGGCACCCCCACTTGCACTATTACTCAGGAACCCACAAATGTCCACCCTTGGCCTTCACCAGGGCCCTGTGTTCACACCACATCAGCAAACCAGTGAGAGCTTTGGCAACTGCTGAGCTGGGCTCTGCAATGGCCTTCTTTCAGCCATTGTCTCCTGAGGACCACCACTGTGAGACCAAGCTGTGGCCAGTGGTGCCAGGCCAGGTGTTCAGACAGAGGTGTTTGTGGAAGGGGCTGGTAGTGACTGTCCAGACATCAAAGGGTCCAGGCTGGACTCCCAACATTCCTGGCACCCTGTCTTGTGTATCTACCACCCACAAGCATCTGAAACATTTTGACTCCAACCTGTAGGGTGCCCTGAAAGAAAGGACCCCAGAAATTTAACAGCCTCCATGAAAGGTGCTATTTTTTTGGAAAACAGTTTCTCTCCCAACCCAGGCAGTTTTTCCTCTAACAAGGCTGGGGAAACACACCACATCTTCCCCATCACTGCCACGATTTCTGTGGGATCAAGTGCTAGCCCATCCCATCCCCTCTCTGGCTGTCTGCTCTGTGATGCTTCTGCCTCCAGTTTCTCTATCCATCACCTGAAGAGAAGAGAGTTACTTGTCTCCCCGCCATGTCCCATTTGGGGACACATCTTGGAAGTTTTAGGTCTCAGCTTTAAAAGTTGCATAGACTTTTTCATACCCCCAATAATCATATACTCCAATATAATTTTTTCCAAAAAGCTTTGAGTCAGGCTGTGATCTCTCCCCTCCTCTCCTCTGGAACCCTTTTCCCCTTCCCCTTCCCCTTCCCCTTCCCCTCTTTTTTTTTTTTTTGGCAGTACTGGGATTTGAACTGAAGGTCTCACACTTCCTAAGCAGGCATCCCACTACTTGAGTCCAGTCTCCAGCCTTTTTTGCTTTAGGCTGTTTTTCAGATAGGGTCTCTTGCTTTTGCCTGGCAGGGCCTCAGACCACAGTCCTTCTACTTCTGCCTCCCTGGCAGCTGAGATTACAAGTGTGAACCACCATGCATGAACCTGTAATTTCTGTCTTGAGGTGCAGAGACCTGGGGTCTTGAGGAACACTGCTCTGGATAGGGTGTTACAAGTCTCCCCAGGAATTCCTATATGACAATGGTGTCCCCGTCCAGGACACAAACACAGTCATTGGAGTTAGGCCTCTTGGGGAAGTGCATTTCCAGAAAGTGGGGGGAGAGGGGCTGGGTGGTTCTCTCTAGACACTAACAGGTCTGTCTCCTCCCACGCAGACCATGACAACTCGCTGAGTGTGAGCATCCCCCAACCGTCCCCACTGAAGGTCCTGCTGGGGACCTCGCTTACCATCCCCTGCTATTTCATTGACCCCATGCACCCTGTGACCACTGCCCCCTCCACTGCCCCGCTGGCCCCAAGAATCAAGTGGAGCCGTGTTTCCAAGGAGAAGGAGGTGGTGTTGTTGGTGGCAACCGAAGGCCATGTGCGAGTCAACAGCGCCTACCAAGACAAGGTCTCGCTGCCCAACTACCCGGCCATCCCCAGCGATGCCACCTTGGAAATTCAGAACCTGCGCACCAATGACTCCGGGATCTATCGCTGTGAGGTGATTCACGGCATCGAGGACAGCCAGGCCACCCTGGAGGTTGTGGTGAAAGGTGAGGCCAGAGCTGGTATCTCATCCTCTGTGGATTAGCGGGGGATACACAGGTAAATGGCGGCTGTGCTTCCTGTGACTCAGTGGGCCTCATGAACACATCCGTTATTTTTTTGTGGTACTGGGGTTTGAACTCAGGGCCTACACTTTGAAGCACTCCACCAGCCCTTTTTCATAATGGGTATTTTCCAAGATAGGGTCTCTAGAACTATTTACCTGGGCTGGATTTGAACCGTGATCCTCCTGATCTCAGCCTCCTGAGTAGCTAGGATTACAGGCATGAGCCACCGGTGCCCAGCGAGCATGTCCATTTTGCAGATAAGCAAACTGAGGTGGTGTGGCATGTCTCAAGTCACTGTGGAAATAAGTCAGGTGTCGTCTCCCTTCTCCTCCACCCACTCATTCTCAGTTCCAGAAGCAAAAAAAAAAGGACTGAAGTCTCCCTGATCGTCTCCCTGGTCTCCTTTCACTCATAGGATATCCCTGGCTTGATGGTGCATGGGACTCTGAGTGTGTCTTCCCCCACAAAAAAATTTGGGGTTCTGAGTGTGAGAATTATCACAGGTATTCAGAAAGGAACGCCCTGTGAGGTAGTGAGTTCCCCGTCCTGAGGGTCTGCCCACAAAGGCATGCAAATGTGGGGACAGACCCGTGCATCAGCCTGGACCAGACAGTTCCTGAGGTCCCTGTGGCCCTTGCTGTACAGGTCAGAGCTCGTGCCTGACTGTCTGTCTCGTCCACCCCCGACGTGTGTTTTCCAGGCGTCGTGTTCCACTACCGGGCCATCTCCACGCGCTACACCCTGGACTTCGACAGGGCGCAGCGGGCTTGCCTGCAGAGCAGTGCCATCATCGCCACACCTGAGCAGCTGCAGGCTGCCTACGAGGACGGCTTCCACCAGTGTGACGCCGGCTGGCTGGCCGACCAGACTGTCAGGTGAGCCCTGTCCTCCCCCTCCTTGCAGGGGGTGTCAGATATGGGGACCAGCGGTCAGGAGCCCACAGGGTGGGGCAGGTGATGGGGTGGAACGTGACCAGTGCTGAGCCAAGGGCCAGCGTGAGCCTGTGGCCAGCCTAGGTTAGGGACCAGTGTCCCTCCTTGGCCAACACAGGCGCCCACTCCCCCATCCAGATCCTTGGTGTTCTCCCTCAGTGACCCTGTCCTCAGAGTCAGTATTTTCCCTGCCCAGTTTTTCTTATGCCAAGGTTTCTTCACTTACTGTTTTGTTTTTAACTTTAGTGTTTTATAATTTGTGTAAACCATCTTATATCTTTTTTGTTTTAAATAAGGCAAGATATACATACAGTAAGCTTCTTGGTACGTCTTTTTCTGAGTCAACCCTGGGGCACCCCAGGGGCTGGATGCAGAGTTAGAGCCCTGCCCTCCAGGGGTTTTGGTGCAGTGTGTGAACCTGTAAGGACAACACAGACTGTCCCCCACCCCAACCCCCTTCACTAGCCCTGAAAGCAGAGCCACAAAGTCTCAGGAAGAAAACAAAGGAGAATGACTTTGCAATCCTGGGTAGGCAAGGTGCTCTCAGGACACAAAACCCACAAACAAATAATAAAATGAGACAACAGTGTAGCAAGCGCAAGAACTCACACCTTAGCCTTGGAAAGCACTGGGCTCAAAGCACTTGGAAGCTGTGTGGCCTTGGACAAATCAGTTAACATCTCTGGGCCCCCAGGTTCTTTAAGTATAAAATAGAGTACAGAACCAGCCCTATTAGGTTGCTATGAGGCTGAAATGACAGAGAGCAGGGACCAAGAAACAATAGCCCCTGACTCAAATCCAGCCCACCCTTTGTTTCTGTAAATAAAGTTTTATTGGCACACGGTCACGCCCACTTGCTTATGTATTGTCTGTGGCCATTTCAGACCAATAGAGCAGTACAGTGATGGTCATCACAGAGACCCTATGGTTTGCAAGATTTTATTTACCATCTGGTCTTTCGTAGAGAAAGTTTGTGGGTCCCTGGTACAGTGAGTAGCACCCATAAATCCTCAGCATCAGGAACTGATCGTCTTTATTCACCAATAACTGCAAAAACGGGGGACAGCCCCATATTCAGAGAAGACCCTGTCAAAGGCAGTGTCACACCCCAACTTTGGATTCCTGACAGGTACCCCATCCACACTCCCCGGGAGGGCTGCTATGGAGACAAGGATGAGTTTCCTGGTGTGAGGACCTATGGCATCCGTGACACCAATGAGACCTATGACGTGTACTGCTTCGCCGAGGAGATGGAGGGTGAGGCCACTCCACCCACCAGCAGGAAGCCCAGTCCCTTCCAGTGTACCTTCCCCCCCTGTCCCTGTCGTCCCTCCACAGGCACTACAGACCACACAAGCCTCCTCTGGGCCAGGGCCCTCACTCAGGGCCTGACATGCCTGATCCTCCTCTGCCTGGGGGAGGGGGCACAGGGGATATGGGAGTTCTGGCTGGACCCCTCATTACCTATTTTGGAGAGGGTCTCAATGGCACCAGCATTTCCATACTGTCTGGCATCACCACTGAGCCCAAAACACTTGTTACTGGAAGACTGTCACCCGGGACTGCCCCTTTCCTACAAGACCTCATTTTTCTGGCCAGCTGATGCCTGCCCTGTAGTCCCTTACGTCATCAAAGCCCAGCCTAAGACTACGGTGTGACCAAGCACTTGCCTAGTGTGTGCGAGGCCCTGGATGCCCAGGCCTCTCCAGGGTGCATCTAGAGACACACATTTCCCCAGGGCTGCCTAACCACTCTCTTCCTGTCCCCTGATCCCCATCCCAGGCTTTCTGGTGAGTGCTATGGGGAGGATCCTGGTGGCTTCCTCTGTTTTGTAAGGGGCACTAATCTTGAACACAGTCACCCTGGCATATGGATGGCACCCCTCCCCCATCTGTACCCATTCACCCCTCTGCACATTCCAAGCTGTGCCACCTCTGCGTACAAACACCCCGCAGCCCCCGTGCTCCTCCAGGCTGAGAGGAGAGTTGGCCCAACCTCCTCAACGCCCTGGCCTCCTTCCTCGTTCTGTAAACCAAGACAAACAGAGCAGCCAGTCTTGCTACCACGGTGCAACCGTACCCAGAACTATTCCGAGTGGGTACCCACCGCCCCTCCTCTGCCCCTAGCACACCTTGTTAAGGTTTTGCAAACATCATTTAAAAGCTTGAAGACTCTAAATTATGTCATGATGGCCTCTTCAGGGCCTAGAGACACAGTCGGGAAATATTACTAAGAGTTCAAAGTCTGAGGCCTGCTTTTCCCATCACAATTTGAATTTTTTAAAGGGTTTGCTTTAGCTAGGCATCATGATACATACCTATAATCCTAGCTACTTGAGAGCCTGAGGCAGGACCATTACAAGATCAACGCCAGCCTGGGCAAAGTATTGAAGAAATCCATCTCAAAAACAAGATAAAAGCCAGGCACTGGTGGCTCACGCCTGTAATCCTACCTACTTTGGAGGCTGAGATTGGAAGGATCACAGTTCAAGGCCAGCCCAGGCAAACAGTTCCCAAGACCTTCCCCATCTCCAAAATAACCAGAGCAAAATGAACTGGAGGTGTGCCTCAAGCAGTAGAACTCCTGCCTAGCAAGCGTGAGATCCTAAGTTCAAACCCCATACCTCAAATTAAAAATAAAAACGAGAGCGACTGGGGGTGTGGCTCAAGTGGCAGAGATCTTGGGTTCCATCCCCGTGGGTAGAGCCTGAGCCCACGAGCTCCCCCTAGTGGCTAGTGGTAGAAAATGGCACAGCAATTCTTGGTCCCCTTTAAGAAATTGATGCCATCCTGCCCCAAAGCCCAGAAAAAGATGGAAAACGGGAAATAGGAAATGAAGGCTAGGATCTGACCTATGCATAAGCAGGTTTGGGGTTTTTGGAGGTTAAAGGCCAAGCTGACTTAGAGAAGGGCGCAGGGCAGGACAGGTGGAGGGAGACCCTCACCCAGCTGACTGTATCCTTCACAGGCGAGGTGTTTTATGCAACATCTCCAGAGAAGTTCACCTTCCAAGAGGCAGCCAGCGAGTGCCGTCGGCTGGGCGCCCGGCTGGCCACCACGGGCCAGCTCTACCTGGCCTGGCAGGGCGGAATGGACATGTGCAGTGCTGGCTGGCTGGCTGACCGCAGCGTGCGTTACCCCATCTCCAAGGCCAGGCCCAACTGCGGGGGTAACCTCCTGGGTGTGAGGACCGTCTACGTGCATGCCAACCAGACGGGCTACCCCGACCCCTCATCCCGCTACGACGCCATCTGCTACACAGGTGGGTCTGGGTGGGACCAGAGGGGGCTCACGCCACTGGACAAGCCTGGTTGGGTCCCAGAGAAGGGGAAGATCTTGGAGGTTGTCCATTCATGGGGCCAGTGAGTTGCCTCCCCCGTTTTCACTGATTCCTAAGAAGGGCTGAGGTAGGGGCACTGGAGCTGCTGCATGTCCAGTCCTGTCTCATTGGATGAGCAGACAGTTGAATCATGCATTTTAGAGTCTGTGTTTCCTCCGGCTTGAATTGCTGTTCTGCCATCTCCCGCCTACCACACAATCCAGGAAAGTCAATGTCCTGAGAGCCTCAAACGCCTCCTCTGATGGGAAGATGGGGGGCCTGTTATGACATCATGAGCCCTCAGGAGGGCGCTGTTAGCTGCTCTTTTTAATTGAGTTTAAAAGAGTAAGAGTAAGTTGGGGACTTTGTTTTGACAAATTAGACTTAAACTTTTTAAATAAGTTTTTTTAATCTTCTATTTAACACATTAATATCATTGCAATTATTATCACTTACTTATTATAATAAGTACTAATTCTTGGAGGGGGGAGAAAAAGGAATGACACAGAGAGGAGTTAGCTAAATTTTACAACAGAATTGGTGGTAACCCAGTGACAGCTCACTTCCTGTTTCACTTCTCCAGCCTGATCGGTCACACATAAAGAGGATTCATTTTGCAAAAAATAATTAGGACTTTCCCCCCGAGCCTCTCTTAATCTTTTGATGGTCTAACCACTCTGAATTTATCACCCTCATGAATTTTCTTTCTAAGCAAGTTGCATTTTTCTGCCAGACCTGCATGGCTGCACAAGTACACCTTCTGCAAGAGTCGAGAGTGTCACTCATAGGATGGGCAGAGGGGCAGCTGGGGTGGGGCAGGAGGGGACGTCAGGTGGGAAGTGATTGTCTAAGCAGCACGCTGACTCGTCAATATCTTATTAGTTATCACTGTGTTTTGCAGCCACCAATTCAGCCAATCTCAGGTTGAAAATGTTTGAAAAAAAAAAATTACCTCTTAGCCAGATGCTGGTGGCTCATGGCTATAATCCTAGCTACTCAGGAGACAGAGATCAGGAGGATAGAGGTTCAAAGCCAGCCCTGGGCACCTGGTTCTTGAGACCCTATCTGGAAAAATACCCAACCCAAAAAAAAAGGGCTGGTGGAATGATTCAAGGGGTAAGAGCACCTGCCTAGCAAGCGTGAGGCCCTGAGTTCAAATACCAGTTCCACCAAAAAGAAAAAACTTGCCTCTGTACAAAAATATAAACCTTTATCTCCTCATTCTTCCCCAAACATTTATAATATGACAATTATTTAAATAGCATTTACATTGCATCAAGTGTAATAGGTAATCTAGAGATAGTTAAAGGATAAAGAGCTCCCTCACACGGCTATATACATATACAATACAATTTTATGTATGGGACTTGAGCATTCTCAGATTTTGGTATCCATGGGAGGTTCTGGAACCAATGCCCCTGAGGATATGGGGGAGATACTGTACTCAGACAGCTGAGGTCCCCCCTGCAGGTCTCCAAGGTGCCTGGTGACACAGGCAAGCCAGAAGGAGGTGGAGGTGCTCACCGCTAATCACCCTCCGGCCAGTCCCAGGCTGTGTGGTTAAAGCTTGTCTCTGTCCCCGGTCCCAGGTGAAGACTTTGTGGACATCCCAGAAAACTTCTTCGGGGTGGGTGGTGAGGAGGACATCACCATCCAGACGGTGACCTGGCCCGACGTGGAGCTGCCCTTGCCTCGAAACATCACGGAGGGGGAGGCCCGCGGCCACGAGATCCTCACTGTGAAGCCCATCTTTGGTGTCTCCCCCACCGCCCTGGAGCCTGAGGCAACTGATGTGGGCTCCACGGTCTTCCCCGAGGAGGAGAACGGCACAGAATTGGCCACAAGACCCTGGGGCTTTCCTGAGGAATCCACGCCTAGGCTGGGCCCTGTCACGGCCTTCACCAGTGAGGACCTGGTGGTGCAGGTGACCATTGGCCCAGGTGCAGCCGAGGTCCCTGGGCAGCCCCGTTTGCCAGGAGGTAAGTGCCACCCCTGGGCAATGTCTTGGAGGCAGGGGAGAAGAGGCCAGCCTGCTTCCTTCCTCATCAGTAAAACAGAGGTTTGGGACACTCAGATGAAGTCACATATGAACACTTAGGTGTGTGTCAAGCAGGTGAAAGTGGGGCAGAGAAACGAGGGTGCCCCCCATCCTGCCCCTCCCCACTCATCAGGCACCTCTACAAAATATACCCACTTAAAAACCACTGCTCTGGGGGGCCCTGAGGCCTAGCCCAGCCTTGTCCTCCTGCCAGGACAACCATCAACAAACTGTAGTCAGCGAGCCAAATCCAGCTATTTTTATGTGGCCTGGAAACTTTGAATGGCCTTTTTACATTCCTAAGTAGTTAGGGGAAAAAAAATCAAAAGGAGAATATTTTGGGACATGTGAAAATGATATAAATTTCACATTTCAGCATCCACAAATAAAGTTTGAGTGGAACAAAGCCATACCCATGTGTTAACGTGTTGCCTATGCCTAACTCAGGACAATCGTGGTTCAACTGAGTCGTTGTAACAAAAATTGTGTGGCCCACAAAGACTAATACAGAGGCCAGGTGTGGTGGTGCACACCTGTAATCCCAGCATTCGGGAGGCTGAGGCAGGAGGAGCTTGAGTTTGGGACCAGCAAACCCTATGGGCTACAAAGAAAGACCCTGTTTCAAAAACAAATAAATAAATAGCCTGATGTAGTTTCTATTTGACTCTTCCTAGAAAGTGCTTCCAGCCCTGTGCTAGGCAGTTGGAGCTCCTGTGCTCAGTGAGTGTTCGGAGAGTTGGGGTGTCACATAGCACAGCAAGTCCATGAACAGGAAAGATGTTCTGGTGTGGCCTCCACGGGGCCTTGTCAGGGAGCAGGGAACAGGTGGAACCTGACACACACCAACACGCTCACAATCTCACCGAGTCAGCCCTGACCTGCCCAGATAAATCCGTAATGTTAGAATGGAGGAGTTGGGGAGGGGGTGGCTTAGAGTCCAAGGGCACAGGAAGCTGATCTCTCTCTTTCCTTCTCTCCCCTTCCTCCACACCCAGGGGTCGTGTTCCACTACCGCCCGGGGTCCACCCGATACTCACTGACCTTCAAGGAGGCTCGGCAGGCCTGCCTGGACACCGGGGCAGTCATGGCCACACCAGAGCAGCTGCAGGCAGCCTACGAGGCAGGCTACGAGCAGTGTGACGCCGGCTGGCTGCAGGACCAGACCGTCAGGTGAAGGACCAGCCTGTCCCTCCCTGGCCCCACCCTCAAGAGGCCAGGCCTGAGGGACCCCCCACCTGGCACAATGCCCAGTACAGTGTACACCAGCCCTCTGTGGATTGATGTGTTCGTTAGGGACACCACAGCTCCAAGGCATATTCTGAAAGATGGTGACAGTGTTGCGGGAGTTCACTGAGACGGGACTCTTGAGGCAATTAGAGGAAGCAAAGTTTTATTGTGCCAGCACAGACTCGGCAGACTCATGTCCAAAGGCTGAGCCCCAAGAACAAAGGGGTCTCCCCTTATAGACCCTTGCAAGCAGGTTACAGAAAAAAAGCAAGGTCTAATCCATATATGGTTATATTTAATTTTATTGGCTACTTTACCCTAGTGCTATGTGACTTTCCCCTCCCTGCTGCTACGTGACCTTCTTCATGTTCAGATTTCTCTGCTCTGCCATCCCTACCTCCCTGCTACTTTCTCAGGATCAGGTCGACTGTTTTCTTCTGCTCCTCCTCCCTGCTACAACAGTGATGTGACAGGCACTGGGTTATGTTAAGTTCTTGGTCATTTCCCCCACCATGCTCTTCCGTGTGGCAGGCTGTCTTCTGAAATCAGGGGTCCCCCAGGTACCCCCCAGACCCTTCTGTGAGCTGCTCAGGAACTTGCTGCAGGGGGGCAGACAACTCATCAGGCCTCCCCAGCCACCAGAACGAGTCCTCATCCATCCTCCTCTCCCTTCTCTCTTGCAGATACCCCATTGTGAGCCCACGGACCCCCTGTGTGGGGGACAAGGACAGCAGCCCAGGAGTCAGGACCTATGGCATCCGTCCGTCCTCAGAAACCTATGATGTCTACTGCTATGTGGACAAGCTCGAAGGTACAGGCTACCTTCTCGCATTCCAGGCCCTAGATGGGCAGGGGGCCGAGGGGAGGGGGACACAAGAGGAGGGGACATTACCACCCACTCAGGCTCATTCCCATCCGAGTGGAAAGGATTCACTTGGAAAGTGGAAAGGAAGAAGGCCCATCCAGCCCTCTCTCAGTTCAAGCTCCTTTGTCCCTCTGGGATATTTCAGGTGGCTTCCCCCAGCGGCGCAGAAAACACTTGGCTTTTTAAAAAGCAGTGAGTTTCATTTCAGTGAAAAATCACCAAGTTACTATTCCACTGAACCCAATTTGAGAAATGCTAGTGTGCTAGAAATTTTCAGCATTGCCTGTCACTTGTCGCAGGACCAGGTCACTTAAATTCTGTAAGCCTGTTTCCTCATCTATACAATGGGGCCACCTGAGTATGAAAAGTGCCTGCCTGGCACAAGTAGGCGTTGGGCAGACGTGAGCTTCCTTCTCCCTGACCCAGGTGGGACCCAACCCTAACCTGACCGAGCTCACAAGGGGCTGGGGACAGGGCTACAGCAGTCACCTGCTCTGTGATAACGCCAGGTGCCCAGAGCGCATGGGGTTGTGGGGTGCCCAGGCAAGCCGCAGGGGAAGGCCTCCAAAAAGGAGGAAAAAGAGTAGAAGCTTTTTCCCTGTGGAGTGGCACCTGTGCCCAGAGCGGAGATTACACTGCCTTTTTAGCAAGGGAGCCCCTGAGTCTGAACCTCAGTCCAGTGCAAACCACAGCAGTTCATCACCTGTGAGATTGGGGGGTGTGGCCTGAGGGGGCGTGGCTGAATGGGTGTGGCCTACAGGAGTATGTGGGAGGGGCAGGGTGGGGCCTATAGGCATGTGTGAGTGGAGGGGTGGGGCCGTTGGAGGGTGGGCCAGGGTAGGGTGGAGCCTATAAGAGTGTGTGGGAGTGTGTGGATGGGGTGGGGTGGGGCCTTAGGACTGTGGGCATGGCCTGTAGGAGTGTGGGCGGAGGTCTGTGGGAGTGTGGGCGGGACCTATAGGAGTGTGGGCGTGACAAGGCCTGTAGGTGGTGTGGGCGGGGTCTGTAGGGGTGTGGGCGGGGCCTGTGGGCGAGGCGTGTGGGCGTGGCAAGGCACGTAGGAGTGTGGGCAAGGGCCTGTAGGCATGTGGCCTTGTGGGAGAGGGCC